AAAAGGTACAATGGCTTATGACTTCGGTGGACGGGTAATGGTAGTTTGGCCTAGGTCTCTTCGGCTTAAGTCACGCGATGTTTTTATTTATTTGACATTATTTTTTCCCAATGAAGCAGTCTCTCTTTTTCATCTCGAGCTGATGCTTCATTTTGCAGATTATACCCACAAGTCTTTGTCGCAGTATAGCACCACAGCTCAGTCTAGCATAGACACCAAAAGATATATATATACTTGCTAAAGTAATTATTAAGAATATATATACATAAGAGGATAATAAGAAAAAAAACACGATCAGACATCTAATCACATTTACTTACAGGGAAACGCAGTTCAAGTTGATTACCATACTGAATACTGTATATGGATTCTAAACTATTTAGTCAATCTTAGATTTAGTTTCATGAGCCAAAAAAGATGCTAGAAGTAGAAGCCAATTAGACTACAATAACCTAGACTTGAGAGGAGCCCTAGCCAACAATGTCCACCGAGGGCGAGTCAAACGTAGACGTTTAGAGGCTTTGTACAGTTTGGCTGTCGTCGATATATATCTCTATACCTTTTGCCTGACCGTGTGACTGTAGCAGACTGTTTACTGACCCCCCGTGGAGCCGTGTGCGCCCACTAACCCATCTCAGCAACCTACGGGAGGGCACTGGCTCGCCCCTGGTCCACTTATAAGGGGGATTCACCCGATGTGGATATGGTAGAATGCCGAGGATGGAACAACTTGTCTAGGGATTTCTAGTTCTCAAGTATTGCTTTGTGGGGGAAACCTTTTATTCGTTTGTTTGTTTGTTTTTGTTTTTTTTGTAAGCGACCCAGAGCGCTTTCTTTGATTCAATATTGTTTCAATAATAAAATGAGAAAGAATAACATCTTACCGTAACTTTTTCTTCCAAAATTTTGTCATCTGGTATAAGTTGTTCCATGGTCTAAGTGCTGCCCTAAACTGCATGCAAGTGTTCCATATGACCTGTGTTGGTTTAACTAACATCATCAGGACTGAATGGAGTGGCTTGCGTATAGGTTTTGTTGTCAAAAGTATTATGAGCAGACTCTTAGACGAAGCTATAATACTTTTGTGTCAAACCTGGCCATTCTAAGGACGTCACAGTTTCCTGCAAGATTAGAGCATTATTATAAACTCTGGCCCAGACTGACCAAGAGCTTTTTAGCAATTCAAAAAAAACTCATCTAAATTAAGACGTTCTGTATGGCCTTGATTTAAAAATATCCAGTTATATATGCACTTACAAAAAATAAGGAAATTGTGACTGAGTCAAGTATTGAGGTTAAAATAGTGAGATTTAGCTGTACATCTAAATTTCAAACTAGCTAATTCTCCCATGTGTATGTCAGGTGTCACCCTTATAAGGGACCTCGAAGCTAAACCATTGTGTACTTAATACAACTATATATATACATATATATATATTTGCCTTGCCAAGTATCAGTCCTTGCGTAAATAATCGTGCAACAGTTCTCCCTTTTCTCGGTTAATTATTAAGTCCAAAAAGCATGCACAATAATAATATAATTCGGCATCGAAGTGTTTGATGGTAATATAATCACGACTGTCATGTCCGCCTCCCTGGGCCACGCCCCCGACACGCTGACAGTTGTCTCATTATTTTATCCACAACCCTTCGCATGTTCTGCTGCCATGCCGCTGCCCCAAGCCCCAGCCACTTCACCCCTTTTTTCAAATTTTCCCCTGCTGTAAAAAAAAAAAAAATGATACTTAAATATATATTAAAAGCGCATGAAGCCAAATCTGAATGTCACGTGATCTTAGCCCAAAGATAACCCTCAAGAGAATTCTCTTTAAAGCAATGGTTTGTGCCACACTTGGTTTTTGCCTGACCAGAAGGTTGCATGGCGTCTTAAACTCCCAATGAAACCCAAACACCCTAAAAAGTTAATAATTCTCCCTTTCAGTGTGATCCTCCCCCCTCCCCCTTCCCCCCTTTTCAACTCCCCCACCAAGATACAACATCCCCCGACCTGACATGACCTAACCATGACCTCGCCTGCTCTCTCTTTGGATGATAATGACATGCATTTAATAAATCACCTTCAGGAATAACATATGCTTAATAACTGTTAACTAATGACACTAATCGTCCGAGTGTGCAACCAGTCCAGATTGCAAGCAAAGGTCAGGTCATTGAAAACATGTATTTTAGCAGCCGCTGTTAAACTCAGTTGATATATCTGTCACACACTACAAATGTTATCACGGTGCAGATGCAACTGATGCCATCGGGTAGGTAAACACAACTTCAATTTGCAAAGGTCATAATTCACTGAGAAATACTTGTATTCTTTGTGATCATGCAGAGAAAATGATGAATGAACTTTGCTTTGTTTGAGAAACAGCACATGAGAGAGCATATGATCACTTAAGTTCCTAAAAGGTAAATGGAATTTGGTGCAAATGATAGCTGCATAACCCTTTTGGTGGCCTCAGAGTCGCTAGTTTAAAAGGATAACGAAA